ATGCCATATACCATACAACATAATATCGGAAAAATGTCGATACAACATGATATTGGAAAAATGATATTGGATAACATACTATATCTATCAAAAAGGAAACTAAAAACTATATCATAAATTTGGTCATTGACATTTCGAGTAATATATAATGGTATGTTTTTTTTTTTTAACTTATGGCACGTTATATTGTGCCTAAGAATATGTATACGCGTATATATAGTATGTTGAATCTAAGAATATATAGTATGTATAAGAATATATTATGTTGAATCTAAAAAAATTATGTACGAATGAACAGTATAAAGGAACATTTTTGATAATTGTGTCATTCTCTCTCTATTTTAATTGGATGTGTTATGACACCCTATGACACAACCTGTCGTGTCAGAAAAACATCAGAGATAACCAAAGGGGTATTATAGTCTTTTTGTAGGCTATCTACTTAATAAATTTGTGGAGATACTACATGTTTAAATCGTGAAACTGTAGAGTATATATCATATTTCCCTATATTCAAACTCCATAGATTCACCATTTTTAATCCAAAACGAATTCAATAAACTTAGTTCAACTATAAAAAAATTTGGTTAAGGTGTAATGCTAAAAAAAACATAAAGTATTAGTTTCATTCGAGTTTTAGTAAAGACTACTACAACAATCATGGTATGATTACTACAAAATATACATAAAATATTTAATAATTTATAACAACTGATTTAACTAAATTTCCAGCAAATAAAAGGGAAAATTTACAAATTTTTTTTTATTTTATATAAATTACTACTTTTTGATTGTATGTATGTCTACAATACTCGAATATTTGGAAATTTTATGTAATTGGTGGTCAAGAAATCGATTTAAATTTAGTAATTAACAAAAAAAACTTTATTTTTAAAATTCAGCGCTAATAATATATTTTTCTTCATAATGTCCTAAATACCAAATCGGACTGAAATATTATTTTTCTTCATAATGTCCCGAATACCAAATCAGACTGAAATTGAGGAAACAGTTAGATGT